GCAAGTCGCCTATAGGATATCGAGTTGTTCGATGGCAGGCTGACTGGTAGCGAGCTCCTCGAGCTTGCGCTCCTTAGGTCTGCCTTGACACGAATGCTGAAGTGCCCTTGGACCGAGGTGATCCATCGGTCCGAGCATGATTTATAACGAACTTGGTTTCGCTTGTCACGATTTGGTTCTGAGACGATCTTAACTCGAAGTGGTTTTAGTTCGGGGTACTAGCTTACCCGAGCTCGCTTTGTAGCGAGCTGATTCACACTGAGCTGTCACTCGCGTTGAGTCATGTCCATGTGTTGATCTGACCATGTCGAGTTGTCGCTTATGCGGGGTCACGTCCACGTGTCCCCCTGTCATGAGGTCGGGCCAAATTCTCCTTCATCAGATGCCATTTGAACATTTAAGTAATCTAGAGAATTCATAACACCTGTTTTATTGTCACTTCCATCTCCAGTTGATGCCATCTTAACTGATTCACCTCACTTCACAAAGGAATTACTATTATAAACAAAGTATTCACTTTCTACTATTCAGCACCACACCACACACTACTCAAAAGAATATAATTATGACCACACTACTGCTGTCATGAATTCAGCATTCAAAAACCCTACTTTACACTCACATATCCAGGTATAAACAGAAGGAAAAGAGGCTTATGTGCATATCTATCAATTCACACTGCCACATAAATGAAATCTAGACTAAAGGAAAGCAGCCGCAGTCCACTACTGGGCGAATAGAGATTTCTGTTCATACCTGTCCACAATCATCCCTCTTCGTATCATCGAATAGAGGGTATCTAGTACACCACCACAGCGATCACCACCACAGCAACCGGAGGCATATTTACCTCCAAGAAGAAAAAACGACCACTCCTTTTTGGCCCCTTGTTGAACTTCCAATCTGTCTAGAAGATATAAAAAAAACTGATATGGCTGGCGGTGATCTCAGGAAGACGAAGGGCGATGAGAAAAGAAAAGAAAAGAAAAATAGAACTGGTTCCTTATTGCTCTGATACCATGTAAATAGGTAGATTAATCCTATTCAGTTCTAGGTTCAAAGTATGAGAAGAAGAAGAAGAAGAAGAAGAAGAAGGGTTCGTCTAGGAGAGAAAAAGTACCCCAGCCCAGCCAACCCACTTTGTATTTATAGTGAATAAGCTGAATTACAAATGACATTATTGTCCCTTACTAGAGATGGGACACATAACTTAAACTTGAATAAAACAGACCATTCACTTTTAACTAGGTAGTCAAAAGACCAAAATGCCCCTGTACTGTCGACTCTAACAAGAAAAACATTTTTTATTATAGCTTATTGCATAAACAAGAATGATGAGAATATTAAAAGCTTACTGTTAGTGGTGTTAGTGAAGGGGTATTTCAGTCTTTGTACTTGTTGAGAATGCTGATGTGTACTGTTATGTTAGTTCGAGTGCCTCTTACTTAAAGAAGGGCACTCAAGTCTTTTTCAATAAGTCAATAATATAATAATAGGTCTGGCCGAATCAAGGGATCAACTTTTTCCCTAATTCGAACCAGCCTTTCTC